GTGAGCTTCGAAAACTTAAGGGTTTTTTACGGTGTTGTTTGTTTGCTATTTAATTTTTTTACGGTAGGGTTATTGCATATGCTTAAGGCAACCGAGGAAACATGAGCAAAATTACCCAACACATTATCTAGAATTAGAGGCTTTTATTTTCTCTCTGAAAATATGACGTCATTATTTATATGGGGTTCATGTTGACATATTTACGGATCATAAAAGCCTGCAATACGTATTCAAGCAAGAATAGTTAAATTTAAGGCAGCGGAGGTGGCTCGAACTATTAACGGATTATGATGTTGATATTCTATACCACCCAGGAGGGCAAATGTTGTGGCCGACACATTTAAGCCGGAAGTCCATGGGTAGCATATGGAAGATTATAAGTTGCGAATGACTAACGACTTGCACCGATTGGAAAATTTAAGTGTATGATTATTTGACACCAGTGATGGAAGAGCCATAATCTGAAACGCTGTTGAATCCTTGTTAGTGGATGAAGTAAAGGAACGGCAATTTGACGATCCAGTCTTGGTGAAAATAAGAGAAGGCATTCCCTTTCAAAAAAAGCAAGTGTTCGAGCTATCCGAGGACAGAGTCCTTGGATACAAGCACCGGTTGTGTGTACCCAATGTCGCGGTACTTCGAGGGCAGATCATGACGAAATTTTCACTAATCCCGATACTCTGTTTACCGGGGGTCAACTAAAATATATCTTGATCTTTGACAGTTATACTGATGGAATGACATAAAGAGGAACGTTGCCGAATACGTCGCACAGTGTCTGAATCGCTAACAAGTTAAGGTTGAACACCAGAAACCAGGAGGAGGCTTCGGAATATAGAAATTCTAACCTGGAAATGAGAGATGATCAGCATGGACTTCGTTATCGAGTTACCACGATCACGTCGAAGGTTTGATTCCATATGGTTATCGTGGATCGACTCACCAAATTAGCTCATTTCCTACCTGTTAAGACTACCTTCTCGACTGAATATTATGATAAGTTATATATCAAAGAAATAGTTCGACTCCATGAGGTTCCGATTCTATCATATTGGCCCAATTTACGGCTAACTTTTGGAAATCATTCCAACAAGGATTGGGTACGAGGATCAACCTTAGCACAACTTTTCATCCACAAACAGATAACCAGGCCGATGCACTATTCAGGCGCTCGAGGATATGTTATGAGCCTGCGTTTTGAACTTCAAAGGAAGTTGGGAGGATCATCTAGCGCTCATCGAATTTTCCTACCACAACAATTACCATGCTAGCATTCGGATGGCACTGTATGATCATATACAAACGGAAGTATAGGTCTCTTACTGGCTGGTTCAAAGTTGGTGAGACAAAGTTATTGGGTCCTGAGTTGGTTCAATAGGCTGTAGAAAAGGTAAAAATGATTCGAAGTCGATTATGGACCGCTCAAAGCAGGAAGAAATCTTACTCGGACAACATACAATGCGATTTGGAGTTCTATGTGGGAGACTGGGTATTCTTGAAGGTGTCTCCTATGAAAGTCGTGATGAGATTTGGCAAAAGAGGCAAATTCAGCCCCCGGTATATTTGATCATATCGAATTATTCAGAAGGTCGGTCAAGTGGTTTATAAGCTTAAGTTGGCCCCGAAAATGAAAGCAGTGCATTCGGTATTCCACGTGTCTATGCTTCGTAAGTGCTTGGGTGATCTATCCTGTATTACCCCTATTGGAGATATTCAACTCACAGAGGACCTATCATACGAAGAAATTCCGGTGGCTATCCTAGATCGTCAAGTTCGTAAGTTGCGGACCAAAGAGGTAGCTTCAGTTAAAGTACTTTGGAGGAACAATAATATAGAAGAAATGACCTTAGAAGCTGAAGAAGATATGAAATCTAGGTACCCATTTGTTCCATACTACAGGAGGTAACAATGAGACTACTATAACGGGCACAACCCAAAATGACTAGAGAAGTTTGCAAGGAGTGGCTACGATTCAACAATCGAGGATGAATGTTCGGGAGGGGGGGGGGGGGTAGGGGAGGATGATGTTACTCCCACGCTTTTCCTCCACCCTATGAAATTGGAGATTTATAAGGTTTGGGCACAACCCATAAGCGGGCGACACGTATAAGGACAAAGGAGCGGTTTTATTTGGCCAAATTACGACATTTGTCGCACCGGGCGCAGTGGCTGATGCGGGGCGATGGAATTTCTTAGGCCGGGTATAAAAGGACAGAATGACTCTTCACTCTTTCATTCTAGGAGATATTATCAATTTTAGTTCACCCAAAATGCTCTAACCCCCCATCCCCACTTCTCCCAGAGAATTCCTAAGCAATCCAAGGCTAAATCAGAGGCGAACCTAGGAGGGTATAGCGTGAAGAAGCTTGTGATTGTCACTGCAATATTTGTTATCTTGTTATACTAAGGTTTGGAAATTCATTGGAGGCAAAGTTAATCACTACAAAAGCGTAAGAACTCAAAAAACATAACTAGTTCTTGCAACCTTCCTTCCTGGCATGATTGAAGTAAGCCTCTTGCTCTGAAGAATTTCTATGTTGTTAGATTGAATTTTCCTAAGCTCTTCTGGATAACGTTATTCTTGTTTTGGTACTTACTTTGTCGGTGGCATTTCTTTCAAGCCTAATATGTTTGCAAATAGTATCTTAAGGTCGGAAAATGCGATTCATTTTGAGTTTAATCTTGATGTCTCCTGATATTGATCTTGCATTGCACTTATATATATATATATATATATATATATATATATATATATATATATATATATATATATATATATATATACGTATCTATTTACTTTACCGAGCCACGCTATAGTCAGCTGGGTACGACACGTATTGTGCAATCATTGATCAGTTGGGTAGATGATGTGTGATGTAAGGCTACCGAGTCCTGTTGAGGCCGACTACGCCGAGTCCTGTTGAGGCCGGGTACGGTTGATATCTCCTGAGGTCAGGTACGATCGATTCCTCTTTGTAAGGTCGGGTATGACCGAGTCCCTTTGAAACCGGGTACGCCGAGTTCGGTTGACGTCGGGTACAACTGAGATCTCTTAAGACCAGGTATGATGTGGTAACAATATGAGACTTTACCGAGTCCTCTATGAGGCCTGGTACGATATATGATATGATATGATATGCCGCAAAGAGCAGCACCATAATACTATATTACGTATATAATACATAGCCCTAACGAGTGGCCTTACCTTTACAAAGCTCGCATGCATTTAAAGCCCATGGTTCCCATAGTGTACGCCCCCCGGTGGCCTATCTTCGGTATTCAAGTTGAAATTATGTATTCACATCTCTTATGTTATGTCGATAAATTACATACCGTATCAGCCTTACATATTCAGTACATCTTCCATACTGACACCCCTTATTTTTGGTGTTATGTCCATGCCCACAGGTACAGATAGACCCAGTGACGTCCCTCCTCAGTAAGGTGCACGCTTCAGCTGTTGGTTGTCGCACTCCACTTCTCCGGAGTAGCTGTTCAAAAGTCGATAGGTACTAAAGTATATAATCCATCCATTTTCAATACGGTGGGCCCTGTCCCGACCAAGTTGTGTATCATAGTACTCTTAGAGGCTTGTAGACTATTGTTCAGATGTGTGTAAATATTATTAGAACCTTGTTATCGATGGATGTACTTTTACGTGTATATATATTCAAAGTTAAGGTATCTTCCATAGCCAATGATGAACATTTATTAATCTTGGTGTCTTGTTGGGAAGCCTGGTCGGCCCAAGTTCCTGCTGAGAGATTTAAGTACGGACGTTGGTTCGCACGGGCCTTATGGCGTCATGTTCCGGTCGTACCTCCTGAAGTTGGGGTGTGACATGGAGGAATCAACATCACTGATATATACACATGGAACAAAGCAACATTAAAGCATCTATGGAATTTGTGCAAGAAGAAAGATAAATTTTGAATTCTGTGGGTGCACATGTATAACATAAAGGAAAAAGAGCCCGGAGTGTACAAAGCAAACAAGCATCATGGCTAATTTAGAAGATACTTAAGGTAGCAAAGCATCTAACAGAAGCTGGTTTAAGGGAAGAAAAGGTGCTTAATGCAGTGCTATTCTATCATACAGATATACGACAAGTTAAGAGGAGAGTTTCCCAAAGTATTGTGGAGGAGAACCATATTGTATACGGTTGAAACCGGGTTTCGCCTATTGAGTGATCAATCGAGGCTGAAACATAGCAGGTCAAAGCTCGAGCTCGGGTTATATCGAACCAAGGCACGAAATTAAATCGTCGAGTTCGTGATCCCGAGACCGAACAAGATCGAGACCGAACATGATCGAGGGAAATTTACCGAGCCAAATAACAGAAGGCTGAAATATCCGCGATCGGTTGGAGATCACGGTGGAAATCTCGGCACGTATCAAGGAGAGGCCGATTAATTAGCAAATCATGAGATTTTTTACTTTGTATAGAATTGTATCAAGAGTAGACACCCTTACTATATAAAGGGAGTTTGATCATTTGTAAAACACATTGTAATACACGCTAAAAAGCAATACACTATTATTTCTAGTTCTTATCATCTTGTTATTCTGTTCTTACATCAGTTGAGACATTTCTTGGCTCGAGGGTGATCAAACTCAAAGGCTAAGGCTGTTTAATATGTGTGGTTTGCATTCATTTTCTTATCATTAATTTCAATATTAATCTGTTTTCTTAATTTGTATCAAGTCACATCACGTATCCTTAAAACCGCGTATAAATTCGATTGCTATCCGATTTTGAGGGTAAACACATATGCAACAACAAGGAGAGTCCAAAATGGTATTCATACTATATTCTAGCAATCCATAGAAGATTATATACCAGGAACAGGCCAACAAAGTGGGGGATCCCAAGCAATCCAATATGTCCATTGTGTGAGGACGAAATGGAGGACCATCAACACTTATTCTTCAAATGCAGATTCTCATAAGCAATATGGCTAAAGCTACTTCAACGAAAGTCCAGGGATGGATTGAGGAGATAGAATGGATAACAACATATGCTAATGGTGGGAGCTCATAGGCAGTAACATACATAATGGTTCTAGCAGGTGCTGTGTAGTGTGTACCATATTCGGTTGGAGAGAAATTATCGAATTTATCAGAACAAGAAATAGAGTTGTGCAGAGTTAAGTAGATTGATAACTCAAGAGGTGCACTGTAGAGGGGTTTTGAAACCAGGTTTAGCTTGACAGATGCAAAAACTAAATTTTTACCCATAGCAGAATTTGTTTGTAGTTGTCGAGTTGTTTAGAAGAAAGAAATAATATTGAAGTTGGGGTTCTGTGTCCAACTTATAAATATTGAAAATTTAATTACCAAAAAAATTATATTATGAAGAAAGGGCATTTATGGTAATCCAAGAAAAAGGACGCGGAAAAGAACTCCCACTAGCGAACTATTTCAACCCTCCTCCAATAGATCATCATCATTTTGCAGATATCACTTTTCGTCTCACAAAAAACTTTTGATCCAAAAATGCTAGCAGTTTTTGACAAATCAGTGGCTAAAAGCCCAGAAGGGCTCCAGAGTCCGAACAATGAGACAGCAGTATCTGCTCTGAAAGATGGTTTCTTGGCACAGCGCTTTGCCTCCAACCATTCAGGCTCTGTCACCATCAACTTGGGCTCTTCTGGATTCTTGGCTTACTCCTCTGATCGCCAAAACCCTCTTCTTCCCAGGTCCTATTTCTTATCTCATTTGTCTTTGATCTGACATTTGTTGTCATTTACCCCAAAAAGATAAAGGAATGTAAGATCTATCGACTGGTTTTTTTAATTCCACTATTCGACTCAGTTGACTTTATGTTCTTGTGTAATCCGATCTCTCATCTTTTCTGCGATTTATTTATTTTTATAGTGGATCTTGGTGAATTTGACAAAATATTACAATTTTTTTTTAATATTTCTCTTTTATGTGTGCTGGTTTTGTGATTTGTGTTTTTGTCGGTTTCGGTTTGGATGTAATGATGGTCTTTCTGGGGTTTAGTTTTAGGAGATGCACTAGTGGCTTGTGCGTGACAGATTTTCTTTTTTCTTTTTTATTTAATAATCACCATTGTCATTCAGTTGCTGCTTTAGTATGATTACTTATTTGTGTAAATTCTGTTTCATGTTAGAGTAATTTAGATTTATTTATTTTGAACCAAATCATGCTTTCTTGATACATCTTCAGCCATCAGAATAATGGAATTTTAGATTTATTTGTTTTTTTTTGCATACCATGCTTTCTGTTTCTTGTAGGTTGTTCGCTGTTGTGGATGACATATTCTGCTTGTTTCAAGGCCACATTGAGAATATAGCTCATCTTAAGCAACAATATGGGTTAAACAAGACAGCAAACGAAGTGATCATTGTTATTGAGGCTTACAGGACTTTGAGGGATAGAGGTCCTTATCCTCCAGATCAAGTTGTGAGAGATATTCATGGAAAGTTTGCTTTCGTTCTTTATGATAGCTCTTCAAAGACTTCCTTCCTTGCTTCTGTGAGTAGTCCTTGTTGTCTTGAATCGTCTCGTCTCTTGTTGTCGAACTAGACTTTACGTTTACCACTTTGATTGTTATAGGATGTTGATGGGAGTGTGCCCTTCTTCTGGGGTACTGATTCTGAAGGCCACCTAGTTCTCTCCGATGACGCTGACATTGTGAAGCAAGGCTGTGGAAAATCCTTTGCACCATTTCCCAAAGGTAATGCAGATGAACTTCTTGCACTCAAGGGAAAGGTCTACATACATAGTATTTCTTTTTTGTTTTTGGATGAGTAATCAGTAAAAGAACTTCTATTGACATGGGAAAGTAAGGAGTTGCTGCTCAACCATAGGATAATTAAATATGCTCTTTGCAATTTAATTAATATGCGGTCTCTGATGACCAACATAACCAATTGAGTTGATGTGTATCGGATCCATTCTGACCTCTTCTATTTGTGCAAATAATTCTCTTTTCTCTCTTTTTCCTTGGGTGAAGAAGAGGGTAAATTGGGGTGAGTTCATGTGGCAAGACCGCAAGATGCCCATACATAAAACAATCAAATTGGGTGGGATTCAAAAATCATGTTGGCACATGACATAATATCTGTGGGTTTGGATATATGCTTTTCCCGTCCACCCTTATGTAGCATTTTTTGGATTTAATACTATAACAATATGTTTTGTGTTTATTGTTCCGTTTCTTTTTTTAAGGGGCTCAATGTCTGTTGGTTTACTTTTGAGTCTTTCGCAGAATACTTATGTGTCTCATTATTTGTTTGCTTCTTCAGGATGCTTCTTCACATCTTCTGGTGGCTTGAGGAGTTATGAGCACCCCCGTAATGAGTTGAAACCAGTACCAAGGGTGGACAGCTCAGGCGAGGTGTGCGGTGCAAACTTTAAGGTGGATGCTGAATCTAAAAAAGGGGGTACAGGCATGCCCAGAGTGGACAGCGCCGCTAACTGGTCCCAACACTACTAAGCTGACTGCAGTTTTCATCACCACAGAGGCTTCGTTATTATTTGGCCTTCTATCTTGTGCTTTTCCAACTCTTTCTATTATTCTCAACTTCTATTGCTATGAGCTTTATGGTTGTAGAGAAATGTTAAAAGGCGAGGAAAGATATTTCATATTGCTACCGAGGAACGTGATCGCTATGTCGTATACTGGAGTTAGGCCATTTTCTTGGCTGGAAGACGTCTACTTTAAATAACTTCTGTCTTGATACAGGGGATTTGCTTATTTGTTAGTATGTGTATTTGGTGCTTCTGTTTTCTTTTACCCTTGCTTTTTCCATTTACAAGTGTTTTTTTAGCCAATATTGCTGTCTGGCTAATGTTTCTTGCTAATAAGAAACATCAGCGGTCAGGTATCTGTTCCCTTGTGCATTGAGATTGTAGTATACCCAAAAGTTGGGCTAAGGCCTAAGAAACAGTCGTTGCTTAAAAGATGGTAAACTAAGCACATAACACTATATGCACAATATGCTTTTGCAGGAAAGTGGCTCTGGCTGCATAACAACTTGCCTTGTCAAAAAGGTAGGTTGTCAGGTATCAGAGGACAACCGAGGATGTGTGAACATAGATGATCGGATGAAGTATTGGGACTAAAATTGCATGCTAACCGGAACTGCCAATATTATTGCTATTGCATGTCAACATTTTGTAAACCGTCTATGATAATACACGATAACTAGACTAAGAGCAAGAAACTAACTATATTAGTGATAACACTACGCGCAACCACGTTAAGTGTGACAAAACAGTGGTTTACAAACATCTTTTTATGCTAGACTGATATATTTATAGCTAACACTAAGAAGTAAAGTAAGCATCAAAATACGAAAGCGGGAATGTAAGCATAAGCAGCTCTCTGCTGCAGAGAGAAAGTCCCAGCTGATCTTCAGTCCTTAGCATTTGCAATTCCTCCTGGTGTTATCTGAAAAATGTGTTTTTTGTTAAGAAAACTTAATAGGTGACCAGGAAAAAAAAACTTAATTAGGTGAACTTTCTAGTTAACCCCTTGCTGCTAAACTTGACTCAGTGGAAAAGAATGATTAGAGAAGGAAAGCTAATTTAATAAGAGTAGGATATTGCTTCGGCCTCTGGAAGATTTGGTGCATCAAACACCTTGCAGACACGCTGTTCTCCTTTGCCCTTCCTGAACATTAGTCTTATAGTTGCTGCGTGAGCAAGGACATGACCTCCTGCTGGCTTCTTTGGATCTGATATGAACACCCCTCCACCTGGATCAGCTATAACTGCATTCACCAATCCAACTACTTGTATTAGCATGCTTGGAGTTTCAACGTAGATAAAAGGCAAACAATATACAGCACACAGAAAGCGAGTCAGTTTAGCTGTTAGGAGTAAAATCCATTACATCAACACTTAGAAGTTTCATTGTGTTTATACTTCTATTCCTTCTGTTTTGATTCTAAACATATCAACAATTTGTAGAGCTGCGCAGAATAGATTGCCTACCTTGATTAGTCATGTAAACAGCAACATTAAATTCCTCAGCTATCTTTATCAATCGGGACAGCATCTGTGCCAACTTTTGCTGGAAATGGCAAGAAGGCGCAGTCATTCAAATTAAAACATATTTAGATTAGGTGATTGCAGGCTCTTCTTAGAACAAAGATAAATATCAAGAGACAGGAACTTATAAATCAAATATCATATTTCTGTATTTTGTTATACCTGACGTTCTGCAAGTTCTCCTCTTCCAGTGAAATCCACTCGAAATAAAGCAATCACAGAGTCAACAATCTGCAAGTAAAATTTCAGTATATGAGCCAACTTCCATTAGCAATCATTCTATTCAGGATAAACTGGACGTTGTGGCTTTCACCAGAAGTCTGAAAGGCTCTTCAGCCATTTTTGCTGCCAGACCAAGAAGCAGGTTGTACTGATGTTCGTATGTGTATGCACGAGCATAAATGATCTGGTGAATTCACATCATAAGGGGAAAAAGGGAATGATAAGAAATCAGCTGAAAAATCAGTAAGCTAAACAAAGAGAGGAGAGATCATTAAATGAGGGTCCAAAGGATGCTTTACATTGTCAAGAACAGCTCCTGCGTCCATTCCAAATCTTTCAGCAATGGGCACAAGACGATCTGGCCGACTATGGTACACTTAGTTGAAGAAACAAGATAAAATGGAAGGAAGCATTCTCTTTTGTTTCTACAGCTGCTACTTCATGAAGAGACTTTGAAGTGCTAGTATGATTATTGATGCTACATGAGTAAGGAAATATCAGCAAGGATACAATGTTCCCTCAGTATCAATGTAAGCCACCTTTCCATTCCCTCCTTTCATGCTAGTAGGAAGCTGAAATAAATCAGACAAATGAATTGACACTCTTGTCAAGTTCTGGATGATACCATGATTAAGTCAAAAGCATATAAAGGATAAGGAGGGATCTAGAAGGTCAAAAACTTCATTGCTTCTGACTAAGATCAGAGGCGAACCTGAGTAGAGACACATAGAGTATGAGCAAGTTGTGTCTTTCCAGATCTGAATAAATTGTTCATTCAGCAGAGTTTGATGAAATATTCAGATAATGCTTCTACAGCAAAGGTTAAACGATAATTAGTTGATTGTTACCTGAATTCACCAAAAGCTTCAGTGATCGCTGAAGTTTCGATCCCTCCTTCAGAAAGTTCACACCAGAAAAGAAACTATCAGAACCAAGAGCTATTTATGTGACAAGTAAAGAATTCAAGATAAAATTAAGAAGTAGTGGAACGTTTACCTCCCAAAAGTTCATCCAGTGCCTGGCTTCCAGTTGTGATACGAACTACCTGCTTCCTCTGTAGCAAACATGTTGTTTTCAGATATCTTTTTATATAAGGCACAAATAGGATTTTACACTTCCTTAAATATGTCACTCAAGCAGAAAGGATCAAGAGTGGATAGCAAAGAAAAGAAACACCGTGATTTTACTCAATAGGAGCTGTTAGCACTAAATTATAGAGTGGTTTTGTGGGCTATTAACTTTTAACATCACCAGTCAAGCAAAATCTAAGTTAAGGCATAAAATGAAAAAAGAAACAAAAAACTCATACTTTGAGCAGAGCATCACTTCCAGTAATATAGCCAAAATTCTGCAAAGATTACAAAAATAGTGAAGTCAGTAGTAGCAGAACATATGATGATATCATCACTTGGAATATGACAATCAGTCTATCATAACATAAATCTCTTACCACTATCTTCTCAGCTGCTTCACAGATCTTGTCAACTTTTGCTTCCGATAGCCCTTTGATCCCAGTCAAGTTCTGAAAGCAAGATAAATTTGATACTAATTAGAAGAAAGATTGCAAAGCGGAAGTATATAATGCGCGAATCATGGATAATAAACAACGGAAGTGATTTTCCTTTTCACCTTCTTCGTGTGCATCATCAAGCCATTGCAGGTGTAGATCCCTGCATCTTGCAGCTTCTTCACGTCCCCAGCATTGATTCCATGAGAGATCACTGCATAAAATATTCAATAATTTTACAAAGTTAGCTGATTCATAACATTTAATTGTCAGAAAAAGCTTATCAGGATTTTACATGCATTTAAATTTGATATAAAAAATTGAGACTATAGCTTCATCATTCCAGTTTAAGATCTGCTTTGAGTTTTACATTCAATTGTGTAAGTTCAAGGAGATAGGCCTTTATTAAAAGACTATTCAATGACAATACCTTAAAAGGTAGATACCAGGAGGAACATAATACTGCAAATTTGAGTTTGTGCTCTTCTAAAATGCAGTCGATGAGATTACTAACACGTTCATAAAATATCAAAAGGATCATGATATGAAAAACTCACCAACAGAGCAGAAAATCGAAACCGTAAAATATGCTACAACGATGAGATCAAAACACGGACACACTAGCACTGATGGAAAAATAAGACAACTGGATGAAATAATGAGCATAAGACCAGTAAAGTATACGGACATTGTGTGGCCAGCTGATTTGAAGCCAGAATTTTATGAGTTAACGAAGAAAATACAGAGCGCAATTAATTTTTTTGAATTAAAGAGAACTCCTTAGATTTGTTAAGAGATCAAGACATATCATACTCCAAATTACCGCCAAATCCTTCTGATGCGCTTGAAAATCACATATCTCGGTTACAGAAGAAAAACTGAAAATCAACATCACACACGCTAGCATTGATTGAAGAATGAACTAGTAGCTTGAATCATGAGTAAACAGTAAGTACTAATTGTATCACAACGAACCGAATCATAAGCATAACATAGTAATCATATTCCAGAGAACCTTTGATAAATAAAAAGATAAATCATAAACAGCAACGGGATTTTTCATTAAACGATGTTTATATAAGATATTTAGAATAATCATACTTCAGGAAGAAAAAAACGTAATGTTGCGTGAAACAGAGGAACCTAGCAAGCACTAATTGTATCACAACGAACCAAATCAGATCCATAACTTTCATCAACTAAAAAGGAAAATTCATACAGTAAACTAACATGAATTTTAACGTTTAACCAAAATTCCTGTTGAGTTTTTTTTACGAGAAATGAGAAATATCGTAGTCCAAAACATTGTAAAATGTTGAGCCAAACCGAAAACAGAATACTAAGAACTAATCCAGATCCATAATTTTCATCAACTAAGAATGAAAATCACACAGCTAACGAGTGTCAAGGTTACTTCAAAGCAGTAGTATAATGTGCGCGAAACTGAAAAACAGTACTAAGACTATCGCAACAACTATTTCAGAGCCATAACTTTCATCAACTAAGAAAAGCAAAATCACACAGCATAGGATAACAAAATTTTGAAGTTAAACAAAGTTGCTGTTGAATTTTGAAGAAAAATGTCTTTTACTGAGCGAAGCTGAAAACAGAGAATTATAAGAATTTGGCAACCGAAAAAAAGAAGAGAAATTACGTTTATCAATAGCCTCGAATAAGTCATCTTCATCTTCGATCTCTTCACGTTCAATGAGCTGTAACTGCTCTTCGGGTCTGAAAAATCATTCAACACATCGGAATACAAAATACTGATCAAAATCATAACAAAATCGTAAACAGAGAGAGAGAGAGAGAGAGAGAGAGAGAGAGAGAGAGAGAGAGAGGAAATTACTTGAATGCAAGCATTTTCAAAAGTTTCGAGAGAGATTTGAAATTTTGCTGAGAGGAAAGGAGAGTGTTTGTGTTGTTTGCGTGAGGAGAATTTGAATTGTGAAATCTCAGAGAGGAGACTTTTCACGTTTATATAGGGAGAGAGCGGAGCCCGGGAGTTTATTTTTGTGTTAGTCCATCAAACTTGGTAAATTTGAATTTTGGAACATTGATATTCAAAGCTTGCAATCAAATTTTACGTGTTAGTATTACTTTTTGCTAACTTATTACCTGCTTCCAATTTTTTGAACTTTTTCAGTTTCCAAAAGTATTCGACGAAATTCTTCTAATACCATTAATCTGGATAGTGTATTGGGGAAAATAAATATTACACGTGGAATTAATTATGTGGCTAACATGGCAAGACACATGGATCATTAGAAAAGTGACATCTGGAGAAGAGTACTTAAAAAGATGTGAGTCTTAATAGGTACGAGCAAAACGTCTAAGAGACGAGAAGAAATGGTTGCTCGAGTCTCTTTAGTAATTTGAAGAGACACCGTGGAATGAACCAAGACAGTAAAAAGCACAGATTCGTTGGTTTTCAATTAATGAGCATGAATGATTAGAAGCGTTACAGAATCTTCACGAAACAGTTACGATTGCCAATTATAACGTTTCATTAATGTCACTAATGTTCATAATGACTGATCATAAAGGGGAAAAGACGTTGTACTTAGAGATGGCTATATAAGGAAGAGAAATATCATTTGTATGGATACGTTCTGATTATTGCTGGAATACAATTATTTACTTTTGCTTTATATTGATTACTTTGCTATTTCAGAATCTAATTTTCCTTTCCCATTGCAGGAATATTCTTTTTCTTGATTATCAGTAACCCGAGTACTTTTAAAAATAGGCTTTGGCCGAAATGCCTATTTTCTGGTTAAACAAATTGGTTCCGTTACCGGGAATCTGATAATCTTTTCACTTTTCAAATCCATTCTTCTGTCAAAAAATCATGTCAAACGTCAACGACAACAACCTACAAAACCTATAAAACCAACAAAATCAGCAGCACTTGAATCACCAAAATCAACAAGGAGATGGAACTCCAATCCCCTCACCACGAAACTCTCCTCGACAATCTCGAGAAGGGACACCTGACAGATCTGAATCGCATATGAATGACTAACATGAGGACGATCAAGCTATCGATGCAACATTGAAGCAATTAATCGCAGAACAGGTCAACAATGCTCTTCAAGCTTTTGTTAGTGGGTTGCCAACTGTACCACCAAATCCGCCTCCAAACAACACCGCAACCATAGAGAATCCACGCTCAGGACTCGCTAATTCAGGAAGCGGAGGAACTCCTAGCCAATCTCGCGATGGAGGGTCAGGTATCCCAGTTAATTCTGATTTACAAAGTTTAGTACTAACTTTGTAGAAGCAGCTCAAGGAGCAGAACGATCGCATAGAACAGATACCTGGTGTTCCACCTATAATCAAAGGAGTGGATATAGCCAAATACTCTAAACAGCCTTGGAAGCCAAGCGCCGCTCCTTTGCCTATTTCGAAAAAGTTTAAGATGCCCGATATCCCAAAGTACGATGGAACAACCGATCCACGAGATCACATAATTGCATTTGGCGTAAAGGGCAACGACTTGACCAAGCAAGAGATTGAATCAGTACTGGTCAAACAATTCGGTGAAACACTCACGAAAGGAGCACTAACATGGTATTCTCTTTTACCTGAAAATTCCATTGTTTCTTTTGCTGAGCTTGCAGATTCATTTATAAAAGGCAAAATACATAAATGGCCCCTTCATGTTGTTCTCAACGATCAGACAAACACTTCAACTGACCTCTCTACCAATTAAACATTTCAAGTGGCTATTAAATGTATCAAATAAACGCTCAAGTGCAGCAAACCATGTGCGTGAATTACACTTGCCGATATATATTAAATGAACCAATAAAAAGGCGACACGTGTAATTTATAATAATTAAAACAAAAATAACCATCTGACCCCTTCCTCACCTAGCTATCTCAAAAAATTAGTCCAAATTTCCGGCGAGTTCTAGTTCGACAAAAATGGAGTCTCACCGTAGTGATGAAAATTTTGAATTAACACACATCTCGTACAACCCAAGTATTACACGAGCAAAAGCCCTCTGATCTCGTCAATGCCCAAATTTTCAATTTTTTTTGTGGATATATCAATACTCATTAACAGAACAAGTACATACTCATTAGAAGATGAATACATCAATCTCCATAAATAAATAAAGAATCCAGTAGTAGTATTCAACAATTAATTGGGTCTAGTAAGATAAAATCAACAGTGGTCAAGCCCATGAATGTCAGAGATTTAAAGTGTCAAAGCAGAGCAGCAAATACATCTATAACAACAGATCCGGCAGCAACAACGAATCCATTGAAGGTAGAAGAAGTAGGAGATTTGGTAGGAGAACCGCCGGGAGCGGTGGCGATGGATGGAGGAGAAGCACCGGAAGGAGATGCCGGAGTATCGACAATTGATGGAGCTGGCGGAAATAGATTGACAGTAGCAGTGGTGGAGATGGTAGCGACAGTTTGAGGTTGAAAGGAGACATAAGCACAAAATTTAGGTGCCAATTTTCCTATATTGGCTTGTTATTTGCGCTGCCATGGACATTGTTCTTGTCCTCCATCGAAGGTGAAAAACTTGAAGAAGGAGAAATGTGAAATGAAGGTAAGTGGGGACCACATAAAGTAAAATTAATTTTAAAAAAAAAAAGATAAAAACTTGATTTTAAGGGTTTCACGCGCTTAGATGTGAATATATAGCACACACTTTGCCATGTCAGCGCGAGGGGTTCACGAGGTCATACTTCAGTCAAGAAGAAAGTGTGTAATTGATAATGTAGTCAGTTGAGGTGTTTATCTGATCGTTGAGGACAATATAAAGGGGCTGTTTATGTATTTCGCCTTTATAAAAGCACACTCGGGAGCTCAAAAAGTTAAAAAAAGCATGGAAGACATTTTCAAATAAAACAGGGAGATACGGAGCTACTCAGAGAATTCATAGACAGATTTCAACGTGAACGAATGATGTGGCCACGTGTACCCGACAATTGGGCAGCGATGGCATTTGCTAGTAATTTAAATGAAAAAAGCTCAGAAGCCATAAGGAGACTCAAAGAAAGCTTACGAGAATTCCCTGCAACAACTTGGAATGATGTTTACAACAGGTACAACACAAAACTGCGGATAGAAGAAGACACTATCACTCAGTCCTGGAGAGATGAAAGGGTAAGTTTAAGGTGGCCAGAAACTGAAAAAAGGTCCGGCAAGAACAGGTACGAACCCTATATAGGACCAGCAGGAAGGGATTCACGTTCGAAATAAGAAAACCCGAGGTATGATTCCAGATCAAGGGACAGAGATTCAGGTTCATCGTCCAGGTTCGGAAAGGAGCGAGATACACGAGACAATGATGGAAGTTCAAAAGCAAAGATTGATGGTTACAGTTTCAATGTTAGCACGTCTGAGTGGGTAGCTGTTTTAAGAAGCATGAGAGATAAAGTGCGGTGGCCAAAAGAAATGAGATCGAACCCAAATAGGAGAAATCCCGATTTCTGGTGCGAGTTTCACAATGATCACGGTCACAAAACAGCAGATTTCAGAATGCTACAAGGTGAAGTGGAGCACTTATTAAAACAAGGTTACTTAACCAAATTATTTAGTGAGAAGGGTAAGCAAGCATATATGAAGAATAGGCAGGAGCCACCAAAACCTCCATCACCAAAAAGAACAGTTAATGCCATACGCGGAGGGGAGGAGGTCAACGACGTAACATATACGGCAGCAAAAAAGGTGTCAAAAATCACAGTTACCCACGGGAAGAGAGTTCTCCAAGTTTTGGAAGAAGAAAGTATAACATTTGATGATGCAAACTCAGATGGCGTGTTGATCCCACACAATGACGCACTGGTAATATCTTTACTTGTACATGATACTAATGTAAAACGAGTTTTGATTGATCCAGGTAGCTCTGTAAATATCATTTTTCTAAGAGTGGTAAACGAGATGCAAGCCGACGATAAATTGGTACCCAAAGCACTTACCTTGTCTGGTTTTGACAACTCGAGCGTTGTTACAAAAGGGGAGATAATACTCACCACATTCGCAGAAGGAGTAGTCAAAGATACCAAATTTCAAGTGATAGATATGGACATGGCGTACAATATGATTCTTGGCAGACCTTGGATTCACGAGATGGATGCTGTTCCATCTACCTTACATTAGGTTATCAAGTTCCCTTCACAATGGGGAATAAGACAAATCCGTGGTGATTAACAGGCTTCCCAAAGCATTAACTCAGTGTCAGATTCAAGCGTAAAAGATAACGTTGCAGATGAAAAATAGCAATTACAGAATTCAATTGAGGGTTTAGCAACGCAAACCTCAACTATAGATGGACAAACGGATGTAGACTCAAGGCCTGATACTATTCAAGAACCAGAAGAGAATGAAAACATCAAAACAACAATTGAGGAACTTGAAGCGGTGGTGTTGTTTGTACATTGGCCAGACAGAAAAGTCTACATCGAAACCAACCTCAGCCCAGAGATGAAAAGTAAGTTAATTGAATTTTTAAAAGCTAACGCAGATTGCTTTGCTTGGTCGCATTTAGATATGATAGGTATACCACCGGAGGTGATGACCCATAAGCTGAATGAAGATCCAATGTATCCGCCTGTCAAACAGAAGAAAAGGAAGCAAGGATCCTTCAAGAACCAGGTGATTCAGGACGAGCTACAAAAACTCTTAAAAATTGGGTCTATCTGCGAGCTAAAATATCCTAATTGGCTAGCTAATACTGTAGTGGTGCTAAAAATAATGGTGAGTGGCGAGTTTGTGTAGACTATACTGATTTGAATAAAGCCTGCCCTATAGATTCTTTTCCGTTACCACACATAGATCAACTAATTGATGCTACTGCAGGACACGAACTATTAAGTTTTTTAGACGCCTATTCAGGATATAATCAAATAAAAATGGATCCTTCAGATGAGGAAAAAACTTCCTTTATTACAGACAGGGGG